TTATTGGGTTTTTCATGCCCATTAATATTTGTTTTGTGTATTTGAGTGCATTTGTATTTGGCGCATATATATTTATGCTTGTCATCTTTTCCTCTTGGACTGTTTCCTTCACAAGGATGTGGTGACCATCTTTGTCTCTTTGTCTCTCTTAATTAGTTTTGTTTTGAAATCTACTTTGTCTGCAAATAAAATTTCCACCCCTGCTTTTTCTGGGTTCCTGTGGTATGTAGAACTGTTTTCCATCCTTTTACTTTCAGTTGATGTGTTTATTTTTGAGTTAGGTGTGTTTCTTGCATACAGCATATTGTTGGATTTTGCTTCTTAATTCATTGTGTCAATCTATTACTTTTCATTGGTGAACTGAGACCATTAACATTGATAGCTATAATTGATAGATATTGACTTATACTCATCATGATGTTTTACTATTGTTGGCTCTTTTATTTCTTATATTTTTCTCCCTTTCCCTTTAGTTTCTTACCTTGCCTGGTAGCTTCCCTCTGTTGGCCCTCATGGAGTTGTGACCTTCACTGTCTTTTTCCAGGATATTGCTTAGGATTGTTTGGAGTGCTGCTTTGTTGTTCATGAAATTTCTCAGATGTTCTTTGTCATGGAAGTATCGAATTTTCCCATCAATTTTGAAAGATAATTTTGCAGGATACAACAGTCTAGGTTTGAAGTTCTTTTTGGGCTTGAAATACTTTACTCCAGGGTCTCCTTGATTTGATGGTTTGTGTTGAAAAATCTGCCGTGATTCTGATGGGCTTTCCTTTGTAGGTGATTTGTTCCTTTTCTCTAACTGCATGTATGATTTTGTTCTTCTGTTGGGTTTCTGGGATCTTGACTATGATATGTCTAGGCATAGATTTTCTTTGATCATGGCTAGTTGGAGTTCTATATGGCTCACTTATCTGTATGTCCAATTCTCTAACTCTGGCTGGGAAGTTTTCTAGCATTACTTCTGTGAATAGTTTTTTTTTTTTTTATGTCAATTGTACTTTCTCCTGCTTTTTTGTGGATTCCTATCAGTCTTGTGTTATTCTTCTTTGCATCAACTAGCAGCTGCTGGATTTATTTCTCATGGTCCCTTACTATTTTTAAGAAATCTCTGTTTCCATGGTCCTTAACCACAATCCCATTTTCTTTATCTGGTATTCTATCTTCACATTCCCTTAATCTGCTATGCATGATTTTAATGGAGTTTTTAATCTCCTGAATATCTATTTTAATCTGTTTCATTAATTTCATTTCTTTCTTGTATTGGGAGTTCATGGTTTCCATTTCTTTCTTATGCTGGGCCTTCATGATTTCCACCATGATTCTGAGCACATCTATTTTTTTTTTTTATCTGTTTCTGTTCTAGAGCCTCTAATCATGTCTTTCACTCTGCTCACCATCTCTGTAGTTATCTGGAAGATTATTTCTGCTTCAAATTTTTCTAGAGCCTCATTCATCTGTTTTGTTACTTCCTGTGCTATCAGTTCAGGGTGTCCAGGTGGTTGATTTTCAGACTTTACCAACTCATTTTCTCCAGAATTTTCTTTTTGTGGGGTGAAAGTCTGAGTTTGTGTCTTGCTTAAATGTCCTCTCATTTTTGTTTTTGGTACAGTCCTTCATTTAGTTCCTGGGTTGCAAGTTTGAAGTTGCTTGTTTTAAGTATCTTTGCTGATGTATTAAGAACCCTTATGGAATGATTGCTTCTCAGAGGTGTCTTCTAGTTATACCTGGTCTTTAGGTTTTGAGTCTCTAATAGCTCTGAGGCTATGTCATTTTCATTATACCAGGAAGGACAGCTGATTAGATCCCTTACAACTCCTTAGCCCAAGTGATACAATTAGCAACACAATATCATCAAGTACCTCTTAGAAAATGACAATATTAACCATATGAATTAAATCAAGATCAAGTACCAATCCAACATATGTTTATAGTGATTAAACTCTTCACTATAGTAACTTTACCCTTCCAGATGGGGAGTTAGAAGGAGTTGGGGGAGGAATAGGTAGGTAAAGGCATAGGGGAGGGTTAGCAGTGAGGTCAGAGGGCACAGGTGAGAGGAGAGAGAAGAAAAGAAAAATAAATTAGAAATACGAATTAGGGTCAGAACAGGAACACAAAGGGAGATGAAGAACAAAGTGGGACAGGGAGGGAGAGAGAGAATGAGAGAAGAAAAGAGAAAAAGAAAAAAAAGAAAAAGAAAAATTTTAAAAGAGCAGGAAAAGAAAAAGAGCCAAAAAATAGTGGTAATTTTGAAAATAACAAATAAAAAATTAAAATGAAGGGCCTTCTTCAGGGTATGTCTCTGCTGTCACAATAAACAACGTGGGCATCAGTGTGCAGTTATAAATCAACAAGTCTCAGTAAGCCATTCACAGACCTGTGAGATTCAGGCAGATCTCTGGGTGCAAGTCCCAAGTTGAGCTCCCTATCCTCCTGCAGGGTTGAATTCTGCAAGGTTCTATTACAGATTCCAGCTGCCTTTCCCCTGACGATAGTCCAGGTTCAAATGGGAGGTGATGATCCCTCCAACTTACCAAGTATGGTGGTCTGGTGTGCCTTTATTGCAGAGATACTCTTCACCTTTCCAGTGGGCTTCAGTCTTCATCACGGATCCTGTAAGGGGCCCTCTCTGTGTTGTTCACTTCTGCAATTAAGAAAAATGGCCTTCATGTCCCCCTGTGCCTCTGTAGTGTGGAAGCAGGTAGCTACACAGCCAAAAGCTCTGTAGCTCCACATCCTTCCTTATTTACAAAGACTTTGTTTCCATTTTCTTCTTTTCTCATAATTTTTACTTTCCCTTCTTTCCACTACCCCTCCCACTTCTCCTACCCCTTTGGACCTTTTCTTCCTATTTCCCATTATCAATTATTCATTTTAATCATTAATTACACTTTCAGTTTCTCATACCAGAGATACTATTTGGTATTTACACCTGTGTCCTATTTATTTCACTTATGAGTATGTCCTCAATATGCATCCATTTATCTATAAATGTCTGTAGCTTCTCATTCATTATGGCTGAGTAGTACTCCATTTTATATTAAAAAAACCCCACAAAACACATCTTCTTTATCCAGTCTCCAGGTGATGGGCACTTGGGCTGTTTCCAAGCTTTTGCTATTACAAACTGTGCCACTATAAACATGGGTGCACATATATCACTGTGGTATGATTCTTTTAATTCTTTTGGGAAGATACCCAGTAGAGGAATAACTGGGTCAAATGGGACCTTTATTCCTAGTTCTTTGAGATATCTCCATACTGATTTCCACAGTGGTTGCACCAGTTTGCACTCCCACCAACAATGAAGAAGGGTTCCTTTCTCCTCACAACCCTGCCAACATTTGTGGCTGGTTGATTTCCTTATAGTAGCCATTCTTTCTGGGGTGAGGTGGAATCTCAGTGTTGTTTTCATCTGCATCTCTTGAATAACCAGTGATGTTGAACATTTTTTCATATGTTTATTTGCTGCTTTTACTTCCTTGTTGGAGAAATGTCTGTTCATTTCAGATGCCCATTTTTGAACTGGGTCTTTAAATTTGAGGGGTCTGATTTTTTTTAAAGTTCTTTGTATATTCTAGATAGTAATCCTTTGTCTGAGGTATTGCTAAAATATTTTTCCCACATTGTAGGTTGTCTCTTAGCTCTGTTTGTGGTTTCTCTTGCAGTGAAGAAGCTTTTTAATAAGATGAGATCCCAGTTGTTGATTGTTTGTGCTAGTTCCTGTGATACTGAGGTTTTGTTCATAAAGTCTTTTTCTGTGTCAGTGTCTTCAAGAGTTCTCCCTATCTTCCAGCAAGTTTAGTGTTTCTGTTTTAATATTTAGATCTTTAATCCACTTTGATCTTAGTTTATTGCATGGTGATAGATATGGGTCTAGTTTTAATCTTTGGCAGGTTTAAATCCAATTCTTTCAATTAAAGTAAAATAAATGTCTAAGAAAGTAATGTTCCTTAGTTTTTTTAAAAAATGGCAGCTTTACTAATAACTTTGATGGCATGGAAGACAGTACTGAGAGGACCGACAGGGAGCAATTCTGAGTTGACAGTGGTTCCAAAGAATTTTTTTTTTTTTTTCTTTTGGTACTAAGAATCAAACTCGGGTCCTTGTGCTTGCAAGGCAAGCGATGGAACCTGATTCCAAAGAATGTTAATCTAAATCTGCAATATCTTAGAAGTATCTCCATATTTTATTTTTTGTTCCATTGTACGTATACTAAAGGTTGAATAAAATTATGTATAAATTCACTTAAAATGTAGCTCCAATAAATATGTTTCAAGTAACAAGAAACAATTGTCATACTTTATTGATAGTATTTTTTTCTTTCTCGTAGAACACAAAATAATGATCCTTATAACTGATAGCACTTTAGGTAAAATTAATCTTGAATATTTAATGAGCAACAAATATATCCTGGGAAAGTTCTGACAGTAACTACTACATATTTTATTTTCTCCTTTGGAAAAATATATATTACCTATAAATAATGTAATTGAGGATTTCAGACAAGTCACTTCTAGTTTACCAATTATTTTATATTGACATTAATATATAAATAAAAGTAGCAAAGACCAATTTTTATGCTGATTTGTTAATTTAAAATACAAAACTCTGACAAATTCTGACTGCTTGACTTTGCTATGAAGACATTTCACTTACATGTTTATACCAAAATAGGAACACATAGTGTGGGATTACAGCCCATTTTTATTACCTTGGAGTTGTTTACATCTGTGTAATATCTAAGTTTTCCTATTCTTCTCCCTCCTTCCTGCTGTGTACCTTTCGGACAATTATTACTTCTCAGCATCAACATCAGTATGTGGACAGAAAATAAACGGAAAGTAAAATCAGTCCATCTGGTAACTTAATTCTGTGAAAAGGATTATTGAGAGGATGAAAGTAATGTCCACAGTGAAATTACATGATTAATATTATTTCTATCATTTTCCTACAAGATAACTGCATTTTGTGTATACACAGAAACACACACACACACATGCACACACACACACACAGATCTTTTATTGTGAAATGGAACATTTAAGAAAATTGGTAAGATACATGAACATGTTAAAGTGTACAGATAAAATACATATATTGTGTTTCATTTTGATAAGATGATTAAATGAGATGCAAATAATTACCAGTTTTAGAGCTCTCTGTATCTACTAAACCATAAAAATAAAAATATATTGGACATTAATTTAATCTGATTTGTCATCTATGGATTTGTCTCTGAAAAAAAGTATTCTTAAACTACCTGAAAGACCCTAAACATTTTATTAGTATAAATAATAGGACTACATTTAGAAAGTCTAACATTTATTAGATGAACAAAACAGTGCTCCACAAATTCATCCTTATTAAACAGAAAATTAAAATAGTGAAACACATTGAGGAGTATCCCTTTTCTTTGTCTTGAAAGACTTCCATCAAAAGGCAATTTATTTGTAATTTTTTGTTAATATTACACTGCAGTAATTATATTAAGTCATTATTTGCTTTACTGAAATAAGATCTACAGGAAATGCTGTTTTTGGAATCTTGTAAGTATACAAAATATATAATATTTAAGGCATCTATAATATATACAATATTTAAGATATTGCTAAATGAGATTTATTTTTAATTAAACTAATTTCTAGAAAAATTTTCTCCCTAAAAGCTATCATGTCTTCTACATCTTTGTAGATGATCATTTCTTCAATGGATACCAGCTGGTAGCTACTCAGATTGAATGATGAATTGCTCTTTATAGCATTTAACATCTTCAGAGATGTTGTAACTGATTCACTCAGAGAAGAACAAACTGGGAAAATGCGAGCAGTCCACAAACTGAATTGTGCCTTGCTTCCTGAGAACAGCTCCTCTGTAACTTTGAGATTCCAAATATCTAGGCATGATCGAAGACTGACTCCAAGGAACTGAAGTAACTGTGTATGTAATAATGTCTTAATTTTGTTTTTTAAGTTGTCTTGGACTCCAAATGCCATAGTTGAATACTTCAAGTGTCCATTTATCTTCAAACTTAAGGAACACAGAAAAGAATATGCAGGCACGACAGCATTGGAAATGATGTGAGAATTGCTAATAATGCAGTTTTCTCCAATGGACACATCTGGCCCCAATCTGGTGTACTCTACAACTGAGCCAGGTGCCACACAACATCCTGAACCCAGTATACTGTGAATGATACAGGATGTCCTACCAGAACATTTTGGAGTATATGAAAGGATACTAAAAGCTACTGACTGTAAACTGAGCTCTAACTTTAAACTGCTATCTGAAGTAAAATGGAACAAATACTCTTCAGTTGTCCCGATGTGATAAAACTTGGAGTTATTAAGAACAACAACATTTAGTGATGTTCCTTTAAGAAGATGAAATATTCTCTCCCTTATATCTAGCAACTCTGATTCTTCTTTAGTGACATTTGACGTGTTCCTGGTGTACTCCACAGTTGCTCCGGGTCCCAGTGCCTGCAGAAAGTCACCATAGGCATCTACTTCACAGTTCAGTGTGCCTATTTCTTCATAAAAATCAAGTAACTTTTTTGCAGATTTATGATCCATGTAAAATAGGCTATCAGTGTAGACATATTCAGAATCTAAGTGAGGATAGGCAGCATCTCCTCTTGCAAAGTCCTGTGGACACAAATTTCTAGGTCTACACACAGCACAAAGTTGATGCATATTTTCTACACTGGGCTTATGAAGGAAACGGTGGCAACACCTATATTCAAGATCTCTATGTTTTGACTCGTTAAAAGGATCTAAGATGAATACTCCATGTGTGGTACCTACAGTCAAACTAGAAGGATGAGCTAATGCAGTGAAGCCAGGTTTGTCAAATCTAATATAATCAAATTCTCCAATACTATATAGTTCAATATCATCCGCACAGGTAACCACAATTCCAGGATTCATATGTGAGGGGAAATCAATGTACATGGCTAGTTTTAATTCTAACATCTGATAAATTGGGTTACCAAATGGTAAAGCAGTAAAAATTTTCCCCAGAGCACTTGCATTTGGAAGGCGCTGACTGTAGCCACCTATAAAAGTAAAAAACAAAACAAAATACCATTTAAAAATGTGTTGCTGTTTATAAGATTTTGAAAATCCAGAGGCATCAGTTACAATTCAAACTATCTCCACATGTATTTAATATGTACCATGTGGTACTGTAACTCAGAAAAAAACAATGTAACCAAGATTAAAAATTCAAAGAGAAATTTTGTAGCCATTTGTTATAATGCAGGTTTTTTTCCAAGATGGACTGTCCTTATTATAGTAAATTAACATCAACCTGTTTTATTATTGTTTTAATCTTTTATTAGTATATATTTGCAGTACATAATATTTACATTCCTTGTGTGGAGGTGGTACATTAACAGATCTTAGCTCCTTTTTATATCCCTTTCCCTTCCTGCCAGCCCCCCACCCTCTCTATCTCTGGATCCCCCTCCCAAAGATCTCCCTACCTCCTATTATCTAGCCTTTATTTTGCTTTTTACTTATAATTTGGGTTTCTCATATAAAAGAAACCATGCAGTATTTAAGTTTACATGTCTGATTTGTTTCACTTAACATAATGGTCACAAGGTGCACTCTTAAAGATTCTAGGTTTGGAAAAAATTTGAATATACTACAGAGCCTATGAATTGTTCTGAATCAATAATAAGTAAAGATCATGTATCTACATTTTAATCTTTAAATTTTAAGAATGTTTAAACTCATACATTAAGAAACTACTTCACAGGAAAGAAGTTACAAAAAGTTAATACAGTATAATAATTCTAAGATATAACTCCAAAATATAATTATATATAACATAATTCTCTATTAAATACTTATTTCAAGATGTAATATCTTTCTTTAAATTATTACATAAAGAAAAGGTAATTTATTCAATAACATTTAAACATTTTATACTTGTTTTTCATTTAGACAAGCTTTTCCTTCTAAGATGAGTATAAGTTAATTTCTCGAAAAGTGTGTTCTCCTAAGTATGTTAAGTATGTTGTATCATTTTTTTATGTAACTATAATGAGAGGCAGCCTACCACAGAACATCAGATTAAAAAAAGAGCTCAAATTTGGTTCACCACTTTTTAGTCATTTACTTTTACTCCAAGTTACTGCAAGTCAGCAAAGGAGGGATAGTACTTGCCATATTACATTTTATGAAATCAGTAACATATAAAGCACTTGGCACATAGTATATCATCGAACAAGACAGAGTTAATAATAACTTTCTATTTTTCCCTTTTCCAGAGACTAGCCAATAGTAAATCTGAACATTAAGAAAATTGGCTACAGTTGCCTTTCAATATCCACACTGTTTCAGGATACTAGATGGATACCAAACTATGTAGATGCTCAAATCTCTTACAGAAAATGACAGTGTATGCAAATAGCCTAAATCTATCCTCTTCTATACTTTAAATCATCTCCAGATTACCTACCTCTAACTAATACAAAGTAAATGTAGTGCTTTATAAATGTTATATATTATTTAGGGAACAATGACATGTTTGGTACAGACCCATCCATTTCTTTCCCCTCAAATATTTGCTGTATCTATGGTTAGTTAAGTCCACAAATGTGGAATCCACAGATACAGAGGAACAACTATATTTTTAACCACGCAGTTTCTGGTGTCTAATTTATTTTTTATTAAATTATTAATAATAGCTTTTTTAAGAAATAAAATTATAAACTCATTTGTTTTATAGTTTCAGTCTTCAAACCAGAACTTAAATGCCCTGTATTTACATCATTTCCATACAGAATCATGGTTTTATATATATGAATCATAAAAACCAGAAAGGGCTTTAATAGGCATGTAGGTGGGGCTAAACTACGTGTTCCCAGACTAATATTGGTCAAGAACTAAGCTTTCATCAGTCCTCTAGCTTACAGAGAAATAAAACAGGCTTTATGTAACCAAAATTTTCATATATCTAAACATTAGGGAATAGAAATTAAAAAGAATAGAAGGAAAACAATAGAAACAAAGTTTTGTAAATGGAGAGGGGGGAAAAGTATTGAAGGGAAGGGCAGGGAATGGGAAAAAAGAATTAACATATATGTGTACAGGTACAAATTCCCTATGATGAATGATCATTATGTATGTCAAAAATGTACCAATAAAATTAATTTTAAAAAGTACTTTTGATTATGTAGAACTGTGTGGGCTGTTCAAAAAGAGAACATTAGAATAAATAAATAAATGTTTTATTCTAAGAGTATTTTTTTCAATGTATTCTGCTTTAAAAATATCCCTCCTTGCGTGTTGTGTTTCTTCTTCATGTACTATTTACAAGTCTGCTAAGGACTGTAGTCTTTGACTATCAAAAATCAGACAAAAATGAAAGAGAGTAGGTATTGGCAAAAGTCTAGTGGCAAGTGTGTTAAACTAGCCTCTTCTCCAGAGCAAAATCCCCTCTAAAGCATCACATTTTGATGAGTTCTGTATCAGGAAAAAGAATTTTCTATATACATATCAAAGATAAAACAGTATCTACAAAATGCTGATGATGTATGAGATCTACAATTCTAAGGATAAATTTCTGAAAAACTTTATACTATTTAGAACCTATAAATAGCAAGAAAAGCATGAAATGTTTGTTTTCAAAGAAAAATAACTTCAAAGAATAAAAATACATAAATAAAAGTAGAGAAAAGTTATGTTCATGAGAGCAAAAAGTCCTTAAAATCTCAAAGGTAGAATATTCAAAAGAAAATATAAATTAATTATAAATTAAGTATAATTTTACCAGAGTGAATTAATAGTATAGTAAAAGAATTCCATTTATCTTCATATAGCTTTTCCAAACATCGAAGAGCACAAAGTGTTGATCCTCCATTACCTTAAAAATAATTTAAAAAGCACATTTATTTCATAGAAGTCTACTAAAAGTTTATGATGCTGGTAAATTTATGACTTTAAAGATACAGTTTTCACTATAATTAACAAGGTAAACAGCAAAAATATTGGCAAAGAATTAAATTAATACATCTTATAGTAGAAAAAAAGAAATCAGTAACTATTAAACAAACTCAGAGAACAGTCTTTAGTAATAAATCATTAGGTAAAATTTTCACCCAAATTGTAATACAAAAAGAAAGATAAATTATATGATCTGTTACATACTAGGACTGTTATGTATAAACATTCACAGGCAATTATAAATCGTAAAATCAATTTAAATAATTCTTCCTTATGACATAATCAAATACATAAGTTAGCTTTTCTTTTTAAAACATTTTTTAGAACTTGGTTTCCAAAAAAATACCTTATATAACAAACTCAATATATATATATATATATATTTTTTTTTGTACTGGGATCAAATTCAGGACCTTGAGCTTGTGAAGCAGGCAGCGGAACCACTGAGCTACATCCCCAGCCCATCATTACTTATTACTACCAGCAAAGACAAGGTATTTAACTTTCTGTAATTTAGATTTTAATTTATAGTACAGAAATAATACAAGTATGGGCTTCAATGTTGCCAGGATTAAAAAAAACACCGTTTAACAAGAAAATGGTGATGTCATATACACAAATACTATTTATGATATCAAGGGACTTCAGTATTAAGTGTCACATGGAAAACGGCCGTCAGCAAAATAGCATTTTAAAAAAATTTGCAATGAAAGTGAAAGGACAAATTTGATCCCGAGCAAGGTTTTCAAATAAATATTCTGCAGTACTTACACCATTAGACTGCTCTTTTCATTCTACATTGTGGTGGTCCCAAGTGAGACCATATATACATAAGAAGCAAATCAGTACATATAATGTGTTACATATCTACACAGACATATTGCTCACTTCACATAAATTTCTGAAGAAACTATATATAATTTTTTTTCTAATTTGCTTTATGTAAATTTCTATAGAAACTGTGGGGTTGGAGTTGAGACTTTAAGAGCTCAACAAATAAGATCCAAAGGAATAGTCACCATCCGAATAAGTTTTATTAGAAGTAATACAATTCTTTTTAAAATTACATTCTGGAAGTTTTTCACTGTTCAGCCACAATGACCAAGAGCAGCTGCTCTACTCTTCATCTTTCTGAGAGTCAATTTACATTTATATTTCAATGTTTGTCAAGGCCATGGGTGGAGATGTGCAACTTATAAACTGTCAACCACAGAACAGCTTTTTTCCAATGATTATTCTGCCCAGAATCTATGTATAAACCTGTGCATAAAATGCATACCAATTTTGGCTCCAGCAGGATCAACGAAAACATGATATTGAACTCCAAGGGGTAATTCCTTTCTCTTCAGTTTTTCTGATAGCTGTTGCCTATAAGCAAGTTCCTGCTTTTCATCAGCAGCTGTTAGTACAACTATGTCCCAGAATTCCCCAGCTCCCACAGGTTTGCCTATTTGGAAAAAGCAAGAAAATGTTAACAAATATGATCATAATAATCTACCTATTGTAGGTTTATTTCAAATAAAGGGGTAAAAGATAATACTTATTACCATTTTCAAAACTGTACCTTCTACTTTTGAAACTTATGGAATGATTATTGGCTTACTAGTACTTCTCAAAATAGTTGTAATGAGGATTGCTTATAAGTTACTTTTTTCCTCCTCTTTTAGATAAATCCCTCGTTTTAAGGCCTACAATCCCATTTATTTAGAAATTCTGAAAGATTTAATGTAATGTTTCTGCACTAAGTGAGGTTCTTTTAACTTGCCACAGACTATCATTTCAATTCTTAAATAGAACGAGGATACAAACAAACAACTGAATCTCCAGTTTTAAAAATAAGTTTTCATATATTAAGCCCACTTAATGTTCTTTAGCTAAGAAAGATTAGACACAAGCATTCATCCCTTCAGTGCTACTTACTTATGTGAGTACTTCATTTATATTTCCTTAACATGAGCTATGTAAGCTTACCTAGTCTATTAGAATACGACCTAAAATTCTGTTTAACAGAAAAGGTTATAAGTCCCTGAGAACTCATTAAAAGGGTGCACTTTTGGTAAACAGCTGGAATCTCTTCTTTATCCTTAAACAAGACGAAAAAGGTGTTTCTATCATTTCACATGAGACTTGTTGGCTAGAATCCAACAGCTATGAACATTGGAGTGCCATCCAAATGTTAGTCCCTGTATTTTTCAACAGTCACTAACATATAAAATACAACAAATTTTACTAGACAATTGTACAGGCAATGCCAAGAGGGACAGTCTGTTCTTTTAAACAAATTCTTAAGCCATAAACTCCACCTTTTGTTCCCTCTCCCCTTAGTGTTTACATTGCTAAGGAACAAATTAGTGAGGTAGGTAGGGGTCAGAACAAAGAGTAAAAACAGATCTGCACGGACGGGTCTAATTACTGTATTTCAGACCTTTTAGATTTATTTAAAGTAACTTCTATGAACTAACCAATGGATTCATTTTTATAGCTTCATGAATGAGGCTAATAATTTTCTTCTCCTTCTCCCTCCTTTATTTTAATATCTATACGATCATAAATAAAGTTAAGGCAACAAACCGAAAGTGAAGAAGGGGGCAATGACAGAATAAAAAAACTCAAAAGGAATGTTAGCTATTCTTGGGTCAGCGTCCCAGTACTTCAGGAGATAAAGTGACAGTCGGGCAAATCTCCTGGTCGTTACGGCACCCTCCCTCTTTGCCGCCCAGGAGAACTCGGTTTCTTCTTTGGTACCTCTCAGTTCTGCAAACTTCCGTAATTTTCTTTGAGTGGCTTCTCGGAGGGACAAATCTAATGGGACCCTAGAGGCCGCCATAGTCTCCGCTTCGGAGTCGGAGCCGCACAGCACGCATGCGCGTGGGTCGTTAGGCAGCCAGGTCCTGGACACCTCTTCCCCGCCCTTTTTGTGCGTCGGTCACGTAAGCACGTCACGGACCGCCTCCCTCCTTCGGGGAAAGCCCTGCTTTAGGGCGCCCTGGCCCCCCTGCATTGCCTTGGCAACAGTCTGGCGAGTGGATGACCACCTAGCGATTTGTGGGGCGGTGCCGGGTCTGGGCCACTCTTTCCCAGCTCTTAAGACCTTGCAGCCCGGTAGGCCTGGTGAGTGGTTCAGGCTGGGGGACACCTTTGTTGGAAACGACCTAACAAGGAGAAGATGGAAGCAGAACCCAGGTTCCTCTTGTCCCTCCTAACTGGTTTGTTTCAGTCGGGAGCAGTGGCAGCCATTCCCAAGAAGGTTTTGTCAGCTGATTCTAACCCTGGGTCCTCTGGAGTCATCCGTCCCCCGCCCAGGGTCGAGATACACAGTCTGAATATCTAAGCTCTGTGTTCTTTTAGGAAGTTTAGCTCTGCGGCTTTTTGGAGCCTGTCCAGCTCACTAGAGATGGAGCCACACCACCCTGTCTTTTAGGTCGCTTCACAGGTACACATGCCAGCTGCCAGAGTGTCTGGAAGCTGTGTAAATTCAGTCACCACCCAGGCCCCAAACTTTGGCGTTATTTTGGTAGCTTCTCTGTCATGTTTTGTATGTTCAGCTTCATGGAGAACACTCAATAAACATTCTTGGTTAGAAGCGTTACACGCATTGCTGTTAGCTAGACGTAGAAATTTATTTTGTAGGGCAAAACGACGACGATAATGAGTTCCACAGGTTAATCTCCAACTTTAGGTATCAGAAAAGTAAATCAAAGAATATTTCATCGAGGCATCACAATTAATGAGTCACAGATTTAAAGAAGATACACTATTCAATTCCAGCCTCAAAATTACTACACGAAGTTTGATTTAATTGAGAAACCTCTTCATTAGTCTTTTTCAGGAATTTAGTCAAGTCTTTCTTAGTTTGTAAGGGAACTTAGTTTTTCTTATACAGTAAAAGATTGACCTTGGTATTTAATTATCTTTCAGTGAAAGCTCTGGGTAAAAAGACAATATTTCAGGGTTTTATCATTTAAACTTTTTGTCAATAAAAACAATTCATTGTCCTTGAAGAACATTTAGAAAATGTGAATGAGGTAAGATTGAGCAGAAGAGAAAGTTACAAGATAGAAGTTCAGAAAGGTAACAACGGGACATAGAAAAAATTTTGGTTTTTACTTTTGAATGAAAGCCATTCTAGAGTTTTAATGTGACTTGCCTTATTTTTAAAAGATGACTCAGAAATATGAGAATAGAATGTAGTGAGGTTAGGTAGGGCAAGGAGAGACGCAAGTAGACTTGTTAGAGGCTGTTGGAATAATACATACTGTGAGAACTGGTGAAGACTTGGCCCAAATGGAAACAGTGGGATTGATGGGAAATTAATAGATTCTAGATATTTTAAAGGCAAAAGTATAGGTTGATAGAGTGCATGTGGAGGGAGAGAAGAAGAGGAATCAAAGATGTCTGCCTGAGGGTGGAGTGGCCATCAACTGAGGTGGAGAATGGGGGGAGGTTGTTGGGGTGGAAAGGACAGGCCCTGATTTGGTTTGAGACATAGAGAATAGACTTGCATACATATATAGTGGAAGCTTGTGTGTGTATGTGACTTTGAATTATGCATGACTGTACTTCGCCAAAGGGGTCTGGGCTAAAGATAATTTTGTGAGTTGTCAGCATATGGATGGAACTAATTTTTCACTATGGAACTATGTTGAGATCCCAGTGGAATACAGGTCAGTAGTGTCTGTGTTTGCATACCGTACATTCTAAGGTGAAGAGAACAATGAGAAAGTATGTAACTAAAAATAATTAGAAAAGAACAGTAGGGATGAAATGGTAGAGCATTATATAGAGTATTTAATAGATCATTTCTTGGATCCAGGAAGGATAGCTATAGAAATACGTATTATTTTACAGCAGTATGACTACGTTGCTCATGCTGAAAGTAAATACTTTTTTATTTAGTAAGTACTTTTAAAACATTATTAGCTATGGTTTTTATTTTACCTCATTTTTCCCCTCAATTTTTCATTAAGTTTTACATAATAATTTTTAAAAATACTGAACCCTAAGGAGTAAATATCCTTGGCAATTATTATAGGAAGTTATTATAGGAAATTAGGAACTTTTAAGTTTATTTTCATGTCATAAAACTGTGATATTATTGTTTAAACAGTTTTAAGCTACCAGAGTAATATTTTGGCAGAGCATGTTACCGCAGAGACTTTACCAGATGTCTGCCAGGGTACTGTTTTACAAGAGTAAAATACACCAGTCCAGCTAATTAGTAAGCCCATTTATTCTGCATAAATGAGATACACAGGAAACAGTGTTAGTGTTAGATTGTACATTTGTAAAAGCACATTGAGAAAATTTTACTGACAGGGATAGAGCACTGCATAGACATCTCATCAGGAATGGAATCCTCCGGGGGGGACATTTTTCTGAGTCTAACAATAGCAAGGTTTGAGAAATGTCACATTGGCCAGTTTGCCTCTTGACTTGGACATCCCAATGGACTTAAAAAATATACAACTAACCTTATTTCCATCAACTTTCAAACACTAGACTTGATACTACCGCAAGCATGTTTATTTTCAGTGGATTGCTAGTTGGTCTCTTTTTATATTAAAAAAAGAGATCATTGTTTATGATTTCTTGGTCTGCAAGAGGATTACACCAAAAAAGGAAGTATGCATCCCGAGATAGCAGAGTTTATCACATCTTATTTACTAAAAATTAATGTTGTTTAGAATTTTAATTGTTAAATTAAATAAAAATTAATGTTTCAATACTGCTTGTTTTCTTTACCATGTAAATAATTCAATTTTCCCCCTGTGGTTTGCTTTAAAAGAATTTTGAGAATCAGGAAACCTAAAGGTTTTTTAAAAATTATTTAATTTAATTTAATTTAATTTATTTTATTTTGTTAGTACTGTACATACTTTCAGTACATTCATTCTGGATAGTTGGGACATGTACATGACACATTTTATTTCTTTTGATGTCCCCTCCCTCTCTGTCCTTTCTCTTCCCTCAGTGGCATAGTCAACTTCCCACTTGCCAAAGATATTCAAAAATGTCTTGTCATAAAACCATATTCATACACATGTACCCCAGCAGTTTTTTCTTTGATATGCAGTCATGGCAATTTATCAAAACAAGATAGACTCAATACATCTGTTGTCAAAATGTATTTTAAAAATACAATTGCTTATTTTGCTAATATACATGAGGTTATTATATATGTTGTAGACATTCTAAATTCATAACTTCATCTTTTTCATGATTCCATTTTACATGCAAATATTAGTAGCTACTTTGATATTCTAATGTCTAATATGCAGAATTTCAGTTATTTAATAATATGAGTCTTTATAAAATAAATTATTTCTGGATATATTATCAAATAGTTTATATACTGTTTACTTAAAGTAATATACTTGTGTTCCTAGCGTGTTAAAATTCCAGTGCATGAACATTTAAGTATAAAGTGATAGACATTTACTTGAAACTTTCTTCTCAATATTAATTATATGTTGTTTGAAAGGTCATGAATATACAGAATACATTTTAAAATTTGTCGGTATCTTTTTTAGATATTTGTTAATTAGAACCTTATATAGTTTTCACTTCTTATGTTTATCACTTTTTTACACAGAAAATTTGGGAATAAAGATCAGACTTCTAATTAATGTACTTTTTATTTTATAGGTATGATTTATATAATGTGACTAAAAATGATATTGTAGGATTCACATTCTTTTAAATTTGTTTAATTTTTATGACACATATGTAGTCTATCTTGGTGAATGAATTTTCTGTGTAAACTTGAGAAGAATGTTTTATCTACTGTCAGATTAAGTATAGATGTCAATTATGTCTAGTTCTTATTAGATATATTAATAATAACAAAAATAAGAGCTTCTAATTTTAGCTTCATTATTCCTTTTCTCTTGATTTGTTTATGTAAATCTAAGTTTTGGACCTTTAATACACGTTTAAGAATTAGGAAACTTGAAGATTTTCATTCTTTATTTTTTTTTGTTACCGGGTATCGAACTCGGGTCCTTGAGCTTGCGCAGCAGGCAGCGAAACCACTAAGCTAAATTTTCATTCTTTTTAAAGAATTTCTTAACTCATGAAACCTGTCTGCTTAAACACCATAGTATTTAATTCTTACACTTTTTTTGCTGAGACATTTTTTTTAAAGCTAAAAGTACACATTGTACAAAATGGAAAGAAGAGGGATTAAATTAGATAGTGTTATGATTATTTCACATTTAGATTTAATATCCCCTTAATCACACTGGTTTTTCATTCTTACAAATTCCTTTTTTGCTTATAGTTGGCATCTTTTTGATTAAAGCTTACAGACGTTTCTGCACAATGCAAATAAAGACACCAAATTAAGTAATATTATGGAGATTATCTGAAATTTGGATTTTCCATTCTTCCTTTCTTCCTCAGAATATAACTTACTGCCCAGAAGTTTTCAAGTGAGGTAAGAATGCCAGTCAAATTAAGTCACCATACATTATCCATCTTTTGTACAAAAATATGAATATAATTAATGTTTAGGGGAAGGGTGGAACATTATGAGATGGGCTATAAGAGCATCAGCTAACTTCATAAAACTAACAAATTTATTCATCTAGCAGCTGTATTTAGATGTTTACATTAGTGAAAAACCTCTCATTTTTCAAAATTATCTAGTATATCTATTAATAAAGGAAAGAAGAAAGTGCTTTTGAGTAATAGTAGTGATAAATCATTGGCCTATTCAGATTATCATTAATCTAGACAATTTAGTGAATTTAATTAATGAAAATTATATTAATTTCTGTAGCATAATATTTCTAATACAAAAAATTTTGGTGGGAGATTTAAAATAATATTGATTGGTGAGTATATAGACATTAGTATTAATAGACAATAATACTTAGTTAATAGCCCTGTTGAGAATGCTTGGAAATAAGTGCCAGGAAAAAGACTGTATCTTCTACAAAGAATTTTTCAGATAAACTATTAGAGATAAAAATAATCATATGAGAAAATAAATGCTTTGGAGTAAAATATTTATTATATAATTTACAGGCTATATGTAGTTATATATGTATGTGAATATATATATATATATATAGTTTAGTGATACAATGAAAAAAGTGTAATGTCACTTTTAATTTTATGGAAGAAATGGGATCTCTCATATTCCATATTGATAGCTGTTGATAGTTCAAAGGTTTTATTATGAATTTATAATCTGAAAAAAAGGAGGAAATAAAAAAATGAAAAGTCCACAGTCTGGGAGAAAATACTTGGAAAATACATATTTGATAAAGCATTGGCTTCCAAAATAATATAAGACACTGAAACTCAACAAGAAGAAAACTCAATCAAAAATACACAAAGGATCTGAACAGATATCTCATAAAAGAAGATATATACATAGTAAATAAGCACATAAAGGATACTCAAACTCATATGTTATTAGGAAATTAAAATTAAAACAATGTAATATTACTACATCTATTAGAATGTCCAGAATACAAAATATACCTCCAAATACTGGTGAAGATATGAAGCAGTAATTTTTCTACTTTATTGCATATAGAAATGTAAAATTGTACAACCACTTGGAAGACAATGTTAGTTTCTCACAAAAAAAATACTATTAAGCTGGTGAGCTCCTTGATATTTACTCAAATGAATTGAAAATTAATGTCTATATGGCAACTTTTACAGAAATGCTTATAGCATTTGGCTTTATTTCTAATTGTCCAAACTTGAAACCAGCCAAGATGTCTTCAGTAGATGAGTAGATTCACCACGGTATACCCATAAAATTCAGTATTGTTCAGTGGTTTAAAAATGAGCTATTACAAATATATTCAGGAATCTTAGATGCATATTAGTAAGTGAAAGAAGCCAAAGAAAAGGCTACATGTTGTATTCCTGCAAGTGTCTATCTCTGACTATGTGACATCCTGGAAAAAGCAAAACTATAGAGTGAGTAAAAACATAAATGGTTGCCAGGGTTTCGGGAGAGGGAAGAAAGTGAAACACAGGAGACTTAGGCATGATATAATGATGATCCTGTACGATGCAATAATAATAGAGACATGCCATTCTACATTAACAGCAACCTCTGGGAGATAAAACACAGAGTGAACCCTATTGTAAAATATGAACTACTTTAGTTAATAATAAACTAATATTAATTCATCAGTTGTAACATATATAAATACAAGATATCAATAATGGATAACTTCTATCTTGATACAGTATGAGTTTATATGGATTTTCTCATTTATTTTCATTTTATTTTTTTAAAATTGTCTTGTTCTTCATTAAGAAACATAAAGCACTGTATAGTTAGCTACATGTACAGGGACATCTGGTGTTTTCTGAGCCTTGGTGGTCAGTGGCCCAGCAGTCGCTGAGGTGGACTCCCGGAAGACGCGGTCATTTGAATCATGATGATTTAGTTTATATGCACATGGTAGAAATTTATTCTTCCAATGGGCAAAATAGTTAATCTTTCAAGGAACTCCCCGACAGACCACTTGAGCTTATTCTATTCTAAACTATCATTACTTTCTTTCATGAAAGCTGAAATTACCCATACATAATAACATCAAAATTACATATATCAGGGATATCATATACAATTGGGTAATAAAGCATTGAGCCAAAAGTTTTAGAGAAATTTAGTCAAACTTTTGCATTTAGAATTGTGTATTCTAATTGCCTAATGGAACTGAACATATAAATACATAATGTGATGAAAAATTGTCTCTGAAATAAATATTGTTGATAACATTTGAAAATCTATGTTGCAACTTAATTTCATCTGGCTGCATTTTCACCCTTTCCCATAAATTTTAATATTTTCCTGACTCGTTAATTGTTTGTTTTATATTTTTTCCTTTAACAATACCTAAAGCAAAAATTATTTTACTAGCTATGTTAAAGTATAGCTTTATTTGTCAATTTTTCCATTTCTTCTATGGAAGTGATATGAATTCCATGCTCTTTAGTCTATGCAAAAGCATTTTTTTTTTTTTTTTACTGATTAGCTCATTGCTGAATGCAGTGATACCTTTTTCAGTGCTGGCCATAAATGTTACACATTTTGGATACTTTGAAATAGACTGTGTATGGGAATTATTATTTTTAATTTTGTTTTCTGCTTATTTTTATTCCATCTCCAACAAATAATCTACTCTTTTTTCAAGTAGAGTTTTAAATGTTGGACAAATTTTAAGCAATTATCCATTTATCCCAGATGTTTCATGGAACGATCATAGAAGAACTAACCAATCATGAAGAATGGAGTCACTATAATGAAAATATAGTAGAAGATCAAAAAGATTTTGTTTTTATGAAGTTCAGTGGCCTTCATTTAAAATCTATGGAAATTTTGCAATCTTGCGTCTCTCTTAGAGTATGCATTTTCTCAAATAATTTTATTACAGATATACATCCACTTCAAAGTTGCACAAAATTAATCAAACTTGATCTCCATGGAAATCAGGTAAGCAATAGTCATTTAGGATATTTGTATCTAAATAAAGTTTATATATAATAAACACAGGTTATCTAACCACACTATTTTCCAGGTAGTCTTTTACTTAAATTATAAACAATAATTTTTAAATAAAAATTTAAAACACCATGTATATGGACATGAAATTAAAAATATAAAAAATTTTAAAATAAAAATGCATGAACAACAGTATATGATTTGGTATATTTTATTTCTTAAATCTACAGTCTGTATAAAAATACATTTTGACTCAATTCTTCATTTCAGGAGTATATTAGAAAAGTTTGAAGAGTCAGCTTGTATATTTTAATCATACTAGTGTGATAGTTTATTCCAAATGTCCAATGTATTATATTATTTTATAGTCATAATTTAGATAATGGGAAACATTCTTTTCAGTAATAAATTAGAGTCTTGCCATTCAGAAGAAATTGAATTTTAGATGTTTAATGTTTTACCATTTTCCATGTAATGTGTAGAAAAGTAATATTTGAGCAAAAATATTTTAAAATAATATTTCAGATAAAGAATCTACCAGGTATTGAATTTTGGAGTGGATTAAAGAATCTAAAACTCCTCTATCTTCATGACAATGGGTTTGCAAAGCTGAAGAATTTATGTGCATTATCTGCCTGTCCAACACTCATTGCTCTCACCATGTTTGATTGTCCAGTAAGCCTTAAAAAAGGATACAGACATGTTCTTGTTAACAGTATATGGACTCTCAAAGCACTGGATCATCATGTGGTTTCTGATGAAGAAATAATTCAGAACTGGCATCTTCCTGAAAGATTCAAAACATGTAATAGCTGACTTTTCTTTAACTTCTGCCCTGCTTTGAGAAAGGTAATTGGGTTCATTGATTTCATTTTAAATAAATTTAGAAAAGTAAAATTTTAGCTTCTAAATTCTAAACCTATATTATATAATTATTTCATAGTTTTGAATCATTTGTATAAAGTATAACAAATCAGTGAATATATTATAATAGTTTATATCTAAAATTTTAAAGGCTTCTATACCTGTTGCATTAAAATGTAGAGCTTAAAATCATTATGCTTTTAAAATATTGAAAGCAGATCTCTAATTTATTTAGATTTTTATATAAATAATTCCATGGGAAAATATTTGATATTTTTGGAATGCTATAAGGAACAATTTATACTGTTGTTGGAAAAGGATCAAATATTCAGTTTTTTACACAATTTGGTGGCATTGTCGTGATCAATTGTTGATTTATAAAATATTGAGATAAATAATTGAGAAATTGCAGAATACTATTTTGTAATAGGTTAGAGAATACTGGATTGATAAAAATAAGACAAACAGCATATGAATGTTAGTACAAATAAATAAAAATTCAAAGAAGAGGATTAATTCTGCAGGTATTAGTAGAAAATTAGCTATAAGATATAGTAAGAAAACAGGATATAATAGGACAGTGTTTTTGATGTAATCTGTCTTTATCTAGGAATATGTTTTCAGAAATGTATTGTTAGATGATTTCATCCTTCTCAAAACATCATACAGTGTACTAAACCAAAGATAGGAAGCCATAACTAGGTGATAAAATCTTATGATACCACTATGTATAAGCATATCAGAAAATGTCATTATTTGGAACAAGAGTATATATGTATAAAATCTTGAAGTATAGAAAATTACTTTGAATAGTGATACAACTGAAAGGGTATATGAACTCGTTGTAAGCTCTTCATATTACTGCATATGATTCTTTAACAATTATGAGTATATTAATGATTTTGTAATATTAATTTTAAAACCTTTGTGTTTTCATAATAATTCTATAAGTGGTTAAAAATTTAAAGATAAGGCAGTATTTAAGTCTAGTATCTTAAACCTGGACCTCAACGAAGAATTTCATTTGGATATTCCAGTTGTATGTTACAGTATAATCAAAGGTGGGACCACACTGACCCCTTTAAGGAAAATCAAAAGGATTGATGGACTGAGGTTCATTTAAGGAAATAATAAAATATTTGAGGAGGATAAATTGTTAGGAGCCAACTTGAGGGACACATTGAATATAGATTTCTTAGTGAATATCATGAATATCAATTAAATTATACAAATAGGAAAATAGAATTGTTATCTCATAGTATATCCTCTATAAATAAATAGATAAGTATTGTCAAATCCATTATTTTGCTGGAAGATTAGAGTATGTAGGTGAAATGAAGGTAGGGTGATTAATTACTCTAGATTATAAATGATGTAACTAGAGTTTATAAAGGCAGACAGCAATGTTAAACTAGTGATGAAGAAAATAGAAGACAGACACTCAGTGAAAGTCATTGTGGTAGGCACTTTAAATATTTTATTTTTTCACTCCTTTGCCAAATATGAAACTGTCAGGTTATAAATGAGATAGAGAGTTCTAGGTCTTGAATATTCACTAGTAGACACTACTTAACAAATTTCTCACTTTCACTTATATTCAGTGGAAAATCATAGGAAATAATCATATAAGCTGAAATAAACCTAAAACAAAATAACCATGGAATGTTGGATAATGTTATTTAGAAAAGAAAAGAAAGCATCAACACAGGATGAAAGGGGTGGAGATGTGGGCTATTTTAGCTTAGTTAGATGGAAAAGGGTTTTCTGAAAAATATATTATTTACTGTTCATCATTTCCTTTGATATGAAAGGATATTACTCTTTATTTCACAAAAGAAGATGAGGCATCCAATACGAAGAAGATGGTATTTCTGTTCTCGCGTAGTCCTTCAAGCTACATTGCGTCACAAATGACAGTGGAGAGAGCTGATAAGTTTTTTCACTGTTTGGTTTTGTCAGTACATGTTTGCAGTACAGAAAGACTGTGTTCTTTGTGGGAAGTCCGTACACGTGCAGAGCACATCTGAATTCTTTTTTCATTCCCTTCTCCCCATCTCTTGATCCCCTTTCCCTTTAAAATGGGTGGGACATTTTTCATTGATTGAATGTAAGAGGAGAAGAATAAGAAATGCACCTGTAATATTTTGAACCTGGACAGTTTTCATAGGATGCAAATACGGGGATTGATGAGATAAAAGATACAGATAAAAAAGTACATGTTAGCTAAGTCTGTCGATTTGTATTGGGAAAATAATTTTCCCTATGAATATCTTAATCTGCTTATATTCCTACCATTACATATGAGGGAATCCATTATGATGAGTATTTTTAAGTGGACACATTTACTTCTTAAAAAAACTGTATTCTGTTAACAAGGAAGAAAGGGTAAGATGGTGTTGGTCCTGCAATCCCATAATCCTAGCCAGGTTGGAAGCCAAAGTGGATGGATCACAAGTTTGAAGTCAGCCTGGACAATTTAGCAAGACCTTTTCATAAATAAATGAGTGGATGGATAGATAGATAGATGGATAGATGATAGATAGATAAGGCTGAGGATGTAACTTAGTGATGCATCATCCCTGATTTCAACCACCAGGCCTGCAAAAATAAAAAAAATAAAAAAATAGAAAATAAAATAAGATAGATTCTGGGATGGCAGGTAACACTCTGTCATAGAGTGAAAGTGATATTGATAATGTAGTGCAGCAATAGTAATTTAAAATAGAGATTTCCAGTTCAAGAAGTTGACATCCATTTGTTTTTACTTTCCATGTAGATGTCAAAAAATATTAAACTGCTTATCTATATCAAAGAAATATGTATTGTGCATTCCTAGTTGACTTAATAGTTAATCTTAATTGTTAACTTGACTGTATTCAGAGACTCCTGCAGTGGTGATTGGATCATGGGAGTGTTATAATCTTCAGCGATAATTACTAATATTCATAGTGGAATGTGCTGCTAGGAGGTTGAGCTCAGTGGGAGGAGGCGGGTTTGGGGGGATGCTTTCGGAAGGTACAGATCTCACTGGCACTCTTTCTCTGTGCTCTGCTTTGCAGCCTCCATGAAGTGAGCAGCTTTGCTACACATGCCGCTCTGACATGTTTTTTCTTTCTAAAACTAGAAAAGATAAAAAATAAAATATAAGCTACATGAAATACATATAAAACAAGAAAAAATTTTAAAATGATGTGTTTATAAAAATACATTTTTAAAATTTATTGATGTAACTTGAATTATAAAACAGTAAATAAATTATACATTCATTATAATGTAGAAGCTGAAATCAACATGGTTATTAACAAGATTGATTCCAACAACAAAATTAATGCATGCAAGTAAATGTAAAATGCTAAGCAAATATATATTAAGTAAAATAAAACAAAAAGCAAGACAGTCACAATGTAGAATTCAAAATTCAAATTATTAAGTAATTGTTATAGATGGTATTTGTTGTTGGTTTGTTTGTTTGTTTGTTTGAGACAGAGTCTCACTATGTAGTTCAGGATGGCCTTGAACTCACTGTGTAGCCCGGGTTGGCTGCCTTGAATTCACTACGATGCTCCTCCCTCAGTCCCCCAAGTGCTGGAATTACAGGCATATGTTACCCTGCTGGTTTATAGTTGGTATTTGAAATACCCCCTTGCCATAGAACTCATGGTAAAGCTTGGTTGCCAGTTGATAGGCTCGGAAAAGTGACTGGATTATGAGAACTATAATTTCAAGTTTATTACCTCCTTGACAACATCACAATTTAATGACATTATTGGGAGGTGTCAGAAATAGAAGATGAGGTCTCATTCAAGGGAGAAAATCATGGGCATGTGACTTGGGAGACTATATCTGGCCACTGCTCTCTTTTTCATGTGGATAATATTTTCTTTACTGTTAAGTGGACAGTAGTTTCTCATCAGAAACTATAGAGGATTGAATCAAGTGACAAAATATTTTTCAAGTTCTGAAAGTAAACCATTAATCCAGAAACATATAGGCCAGTGATGGTGAACCTTTTAGAGACCAGTGTCCAAACTACAACCTCAAACCCATTTATTTATCCCAAAGTGCCAACACTGCAATTAAACCCAAATACTGGGGTTTCAGTTTAGAAAAAACAACTCATACATTAACATCTTTTTTCTTAAGAAAAAAATAACATTCATGTCATGGTATAGGCAATGAAATGTCCTCCAGAAATGAAGAAGGAATATTTTCACATGAAAGAAAACTAAAATAACTTGTCACTAGAAGTCTGATCCAAAAGTAAATGGCTAAAGTAATACAGGAAATTTTCTGCATAGAAAGAAATTGTGTAAGAAGCTTTTGGCACATCAGAAAGGAAGAAAAAACAGCAAAAATATGGGTAAATTAAATACACTTTCCTCCTCTTGTGCCTTTCCAATTATGTTTTATGTTTGATGCAGAAAATCACCACATGATCTGATATGTTATTAAATATATGTAGAAGAAATATTTTTTAAAAATTATAAACTGAGATGAGTAAAGAGATGCTAAAGGTGATAAATTTTCTATAATTCAATTGAAGCGAAATTGGTAAAATCCTGACAATTTTAAACTGTGACATTAGTTCATTATGATATGTATATCTGGAACAAAAACTAAAAATACCTTACAAAGGGATATAACAAACACTCTTAATAGTGAAACTAGCTGAACAGAAGAATAGAAGATATCTAGCTTTAGGTTTCCACAGAAGCATCAATTTAGCAACTATTCCTTGGTGAAAAATGCCTTTATGAAAATTCTAGAAATCCTGGGGATTAGGTTAAAATGCCATGATAGAGTACAAAGTCTGTGGGAAAATATTTTGATAAAATAAAAAAATTCTTATATTATTTTTCATTATTTCCCTCAAATTAGCACAGCAGAGCAGTGAAGAAGAGCCCATTGACCTATGATTTATCCAATGGAATTTATCCTGATTCCTTAATATTCAGAGGCATTGCTTCAGAGCCCCATTTCTGCCT